AGCCTTATTGACTCATCGTGGAGCTTGAATCTTACAGATCCAATACTTGCAATCTAGCAAGCTTTAATGTTTCCCAGCAACACTGATCCACCATCTTGATCACATAATTCTTCAAACACATTCTTGTTTGGAGTTATATGCCAAGTACATCCAGAGTCCATAATCCACTCTTTGCAAGAGTTGCTGCTCGACACCACAAGGACATCAGATGATTCATAATCATCTTGCACAATAACTACATTGCTATTGTCCTTACCTCCATGATTATTCATGCGCTCAAGACACATCTTTCTTGTGTGACCCTCCTTCTTATAGTGATAACACTTAATCCCAGAAATATCACCACCATAAGACTTCTGTTGCGTTTTACCTTTCTTCTTCTCAAGCCTACCATCTCTCTTCGAGGTTTTCCCCTTCATAGACAACCCTTCGCCAACTGATGATGATGGTTTTTGCTCCTTTCATTCGTTCAAATCCTTCAAATACAAGGCTTCTTAAACTTCTTCAAAGGTCAGGAAATCTCTCCCATACAAGAGGGTTTCTTTAAAGTGAGCATGTGACTTAGGTAAAGAACACAACAATAACAATGCTTGATCTTCATCATTGATGGTAACATCAATATTTTCAATATCAAGAATCAGCTTGTTGAACACATCCAGTCGCTTCTTTATCTTCAATCATCTTGAATGAATACAAAGCTTGCTCCAAGTAAAAACGATTCACCAAGGATATTTAAATATACAATCCTTCGAATTTCATCCAAACATCAGTTGTCTTCGTCTCCTTCAAAACCTGCCTGAGAATCTTATCACCAAGACTCATAACAATTGCACTGTAGGCTTTCCCGATCATCGTTGTCTTTTCCTTCTCCATTAATGTAGCATCCATGACATCGTCTCCCTTTAACGCTTCTAGCGAACGCTGTTGAACAAGAAGGGCTCGCATTTTCAAACTCCATAAACCAAAGTCATTAACTCCGATGAACTTCTCAATTTCAAAATTTATTTATGGTATCTTTTCCATGCTCACTACACTAGTTTGTTGTGATCACAAACGATAACTTTCAACAAATAAAGATCGAGAAATGGAGTTCTTGGGTGAACAATGAAAACGGTTAGAACAAAGAGAGAAAGAAGAGAGGATAAAGAGTAAAGAAGAAGAAGGATTAGGGAAAATTGTTTACTACTCACTTTCTCATTTATGGTTTACAAATTATTATAAATGAATAATAATTGGTCTCACTCAACAATCTGAGTGATCTAGCCTATTTATAGACTAACTAGCTAACTTACAATACAAGCTAACTAAACAATTGGATCCTTAACCCAAATCCCAATTCAACATGATAAGTCAACAATGAATTTCGACATTACATACTAGAGCTAGCTTCGACTACAGTATGTAACCCTTCGACATCAACATGTGACCCAGCTTTGACTTCATGTCTGTCTTCTGTCGAAATGCATAAAAGCTATTCCTCGACAGAGCTAGATTTCAACCCAAAATCTCACAAATCTCCACCTTAGATCTAACTCTACAAAAACAAGGAATAAACTAGCTTTTATTATGCAACTTTATCAACTACATATAGTGTAAAAACATGCAACTTGACAACATTTTGGTGATCATATCAACAACATTGTCATCAGTTGAAACCTTCATCACCTGACCTGGAATTCACCACACTCGATTATCTCTCTGACAAAGTGCAACCTCACATCAAGTGCTTGGTTCGATCATGATAAGCTAATTTCTTCGACAGGTGTATTGCACTTTGACTATCACGTTTAAAAGTGATACTTCAACCTTGAAGTTTCATCTCCTTTGCAAAATGTTTAAACCACAATGCTTCTTTCACAGCTTCAGTGAGGGCAATATTTTATGCTTCAGTGGTTGATAAGGCAACAAACTTTTGAAGCATTGCTTTCCAACTCATTGTTGCGCCAAACATAGTGAACACATATCCAGAAATAGACTTTCTGGAATCCATACAACCTGCATACTCAAAGTCGACAAACCCTTCGATTTCGACTTTTCTATCACCACAGGCTCCACCATAAATCAAGACTCTTTTCAGAGTTTCATTTATGCACCTGAGAATCCATTTTACAGCTTGCCAGTGCGCCTTTCTAGGATTGGCCATATACTTGCTTATAAGGCTCACACCATACGCTATGTCTGGCCTTGTACAGACCATAACATATATCAAAGAACCTACTACACTAGCATATGGTATGCTATTCATATATATTCTTTCAGCTTCAGTACTCAGACTTTGAGTAGTACTAAGCTTAAACTGATGATTTTTTGGAGTCACAACAGGCTTTGAATTTGACATATCAAACTTGTCAAGGAGCTTCCGTAGGTATGTCTCTTGAGATAAGCACAACACATAAAGATTGAGAAATGGAGTTCTTGGGTGAACAATGAAAACAATTAGAACAAATAGAGAAAGAAGAGAGGATAAAATGGAAAGAAGAAGAAGTATTAGGGGAAAAAAATTTCTATTCACTTTCTCATTTAGGGTTTACAAATGATTACAAATGAATAACAATTGACCTCACTCAAAACCTGAGTGTTATAGCCTATTTATAGACTAACTAGCTAACTTACAATACATGCTAACTAAATAATTATATCCTTAACACAAGGCCCAATTTGACATAATAAGTCAACAATATATTTCGACATTACATATTAGAACTAGCTTCGACTACAATATGTAACCCTTCGACATCAGTATGTGACCCAACTCCGACTTCTTGCTTGTCTCCTCTTGAAACACATGAAAGCTATTCCTCGACAGAGTTAGAGTTTGACCCAAAATCTTACAAAAGGCTTAAATGCTACAGTCATACGCAATATATTGTCCCTTTCTTAAAAAATATCATTTCTCTTAGAAAAACTTCATAGGAACTCCAATGCAGTCCTACTTTCATTAAAAATACTCCTCATTACAGCTACATAAGCAGTCTAAAAAAATATTTTGAAAATTTACATGTCAAAAGTAAATAGAAACAAAGTAATGATTAAAAGTTATGTTGAAGGAAAAAATGATATCTTTATATAGGGGTGTTCAAAACTGAACCAACCCAATAGAAAATCACAAATCAAACCAAACTGAAACCATAAAAAAACATATTTGGTTCGGATTTGTTCGGGCCATCTTTTAAAAAAAACCGCACGGTTCGATTTGGTGTGCGATTTGTATTTTGCAAACCGAACTAAACCAAATCAAACTGCATTATTTTACAACCTAAATTACACTTATCCCACATCTAACCCAACACTCAAACCCATAATGTCTTAACTTTACAATTACGAAATATTTTCTCTTACTCACACTTAACTTTTCAGTTTCAACTTTCTCAAACCTCTCCTAATATTATTGAGCATTTTTTTCATCTTCTTTGCCATGTATGTCTCATTTCTTCTACACTAATCTCCCATCTCAAATTTTATTTCTTTTTCATCTTCTCATTTTTATGTTATTATTTTCTCTTCTAATTATGTTTTTACCGCACATTTCTTCTCTAATCTCACATCTCTTATGTTCTGTCTTTTTTATCTTCTCTAATCTTCCTTCTCCTCTATTTTTTTCCTGTTTTATTATAATATTTGTTATAATGTTTTATGCTACTATTTTTTCCTAGTTTTCTTTAAATTTATTTTTGTATATTGAGTGAGAAGTTTTTGTCTAAATATGATGAGTTTTGTTGTTATTTGATAATGTATGAATGACTAAATACAAAGTTATGTTGTTCTTTATATATGTGTATATATGACTCAATAAAAATCTTTTAAAAAACTGAACCAACCCAAACCCCATTGGTTTGGTTTGATTTGGTTCGATTTTTTTAAAAGCCAACCGAACTAAACCGAACCACATGCTTTTCTCTTTTGCGATTCAAATGATTTTTAGGTTCGGATGGTTTGATTTGCTTTTTTCTAGTGTTGGCTGAGAGTAGAGAAATGTCTATGTTGTTCAACAAAATCTGAAAACAGTGTCGTGATCAAAGTTAGCCAATGTCTTCATAAGTTTCACCCTAAAAAATGAATTAGAACGATCTTCTCAGGATATAGAATCTCAACCTAACCAATTACACAGACAATAACTATGTCATTTTCTTACAAGAGAAGAAACCAACATTATGGAGAATTATTTGAGTGAAGAATGTAACATCCTTACTCTACACAATACATGAAAAAGTTGATAAAATATTCCTTCAATTCATTTACTAAACCTGTAATGGAATCAAAGGAAATATTCATAATGTCACAACAAACCTGCCGTAAAAAAGAATTACAATAGTGTCACTATAGATAGATGTTGATGTTATCAGAGAAAGTATAGTAGATAAGATGTATAATACTTACTTCGATCCGTCTCAATACAATAACATAACAACATAAATTCAGTAATCATTACAACATAATTTCAATCTCCATAATATCACAATTGTTACTGAAATAATGAAAACAAATATCAATAAGCATCATAACATAATTTCATAATTAGGATCCCAAACCGCTCTATAATAACACATATGCTTTCCAAATTCTGAAAATTGTTCCCAATATCTAATATCCATCTAAAAAATAAATTAAATCAAGATAAATAATTCCTATGTTTGGAAAAATAAATGGTGTGGATTCAAATAATTTGATATTAAAGCAAAGGAAAATGTTTCAAATAAGTCCACCCATAACTTATCAACAAAGGGATCAAGGTAGGAACTTACTACAAAATTAATCTTCATCTTCCTAGCCACATACCCATCTAGATACAATTACAAAACCCATAGAGTAAATTAAGGTTACATATCTCAGAATAAAAAAATATAATTCGAATCAAATTGAGATTGATGGCATTGACCTTACGGCGAAAAATGACAGTATTTAAAGAGGGATTGCATATGAAGATAATTCATAACATTGAGTTATTATTTAACATAATTTAATTACAACTATGATTATGATAAATCCAATAAAAGGAATACTTACCTCTCTCTACCTTCAAAATCCAAATGCCTAACCAAAGTGGCAAGGCTCCTGATCCTAATCGAACGCATAACCAAAGTAACTATCTCATTATCATCGTGTCCGTGTAAAAATAATATGATGAAACATATGATAAAACAATTCACACCTTTGAACAATGGTGCGGTAAGGAACTGTCTTCCAAAGATAATCAGGACCTGGTTGAAATTTGGCTTCAAATATTATCAATTTCATTTGGAAGAAGGTAAGTTAAATAAAGTTTTGTTCATATGACACTTCAAGCAGAAGCAGTAGCTGGATATTTCTTAATATACCTTGAAATACATTGAAACTACCTTGATAAAATACTCAAGTTATCCCTTGATTTGTATAAGTGAAAGAAAACATTTCACTTCTACACCATCATTATCATCATAAAAATCATCGTCATCAGAAAAATAATAATGAGCTTTAAGTTGAATTCAATATAACATAAATCTAACTTCTCAAATTCAAATGCATATCAAAAGATAACAGAATAAAACAATATTATTAAACCAAAAATTGGCTTATCATAATCATCAATTTAATTCGATTAATAATGCAAATTACTCACAACATCAAACAATGTTTTCCACTCTTTTACTCCAGCCTTACTAACCTACTTGAAATTCAGAATAAATCGCATTAAATAACTCAAACTCAATTTTAAATTAAAAATTAAAAAATATAAGGAGAACAACAACTTAACGTTGCAAAACTCACCACATCAATGAATTTGTTGAGTGGATTTTTCTTCTTGAAAGTCTCTTTGAACTCAGACCTAAAACAACAATAAAATCACTCATATAAAATCAGAAATTGGATCACTTTAAAATCACAAAACTTGCAATCAATCCCTATAATCCTTGAAAATTACCCCATAACAAATCTAAGAAGAAGAAAAACAGAGGAATTTTGAAGTAAAACAAATTCTAAGTCGAAAATGTACAGAGTCCCTCTTTCCTCCATTTTGTGTCCGTGCAAGCCTCTCTGGCGAAACTATAGCGAAGTACACTGAGATTTGTCGTAATCCAACTACTCTGTGACAAACATGGACGGCCGGCTTGCCCTCGGACTCCATCTCCGGAAACCCTCCTCTTTAAATCGTCCAACGTAGTCGCAGGTGGTGGATCATATTGATTCTACAGTTACCGACGATAGTGAAAGTGACAGTTCGGAGAGAAACACAATTGGTTCTAGTAAGAGAAGTAATTATTGGTATGAAAATATGGGGGGAAGAGATAATAGAAGAAGCCAGAGAAAATGAAGATAAGAAAAAGTGGTTTTGGATTTTCTGTCTTCACATATGCCTCTTGAATACCAAAGGATACGTTCTTTCAATTTTCCGTGTAATTTTAGAGCTAACCAATGCCTTGTAATAATGAATAATAGTATCTGGTTATAATAATTCAAAAAAACTTATTGGAACGTGCATCCAAAAAATAATAATGGTGTCTTTTAAATAATCTAAAATAATAGAATTAATAAAAAAAATATTTCAGTTAATTGTGAGAATGACACATAAGCAGCATTAATTGCCAAATGAATAATATTGCAACAAGACTATTGTTATGGGCTGGGCCGACGCTTAGCCCATGGCCTAGCAGGCCAAGGCCCAATGAAGTTGGACCCCAGTTGGGCCACACGGACGAGCATAGGATCTGTCGGGCACAACCTTCCCCCCGTCGAGCACGGACCAACCTGCTGTCGTGCAGGACCCTCGTGCCCGACCAACCAGCCTCCTTCGTCCCTTCGTCGAGCAACACCACCGCGTCTGACCAACCGACCTTGTCTGCCCGGGGGATTCTTTAAGGCTTTCCCCCCACGATTCTCCACGTGTCCCTCACGCAGGGACACATCATTAGGTAACTACCCACCTCTGGGAGATTTGGTCTTCCTCCTCCCGGATAGTGCGGAGCAGTTACACTAAGGTGAACACCACGTACTGGTCCTTACGACGCCACGCCAGCCCTAGCAGTTACTATCATTGGGCCTGGTCGCCCAGCCCATTGCTAGGTAACCGTTGGCCCTGTGCTGGGGGCTCACTATATATACCCTCTTCACTAGAGGGTCAGGTAACTTAATTCTCTCACTCTCTCTGTACTTGTTTCCGCTCTGCTCGTCACTTACTTTGGTATCAGAGTGTGTTTCAGGTACACCCCCTCCTCTTCAACACTTTGGTGAACAACCTGCAGATCGACGACGTGTGGCTGATCATTGATCCCCTTCTAGTCAGGTACGATCAACTATAATTAGACCCTTTTAACCCTTGAATTAGAAAAGTTTAAACTTTGAATAAGAGGGTTAGAATGGGATTTTCTAGATAATTCTCTTTTAATATATAAATAATAGATTGGTTAGTTTTATTTTCAACAAAAGTTTTACGCGGTGTTTTCATAGTCTTCTTTATATTATATGTACTTAATGTCTAAAGATGTATATTTTTTATATTATATGTACTTAATGTCTAAATATGTATATTAAAATGTTCCGTTAGTTAAAATAATTCAATTGATAACAGTACAAATAGACATTTTGGTCACTAGACTAAATGAAAAAAAATACATATTAAGATGGAATGATTTCAATAACAATTTAACATAGGTAGTAATAATAGGTCCCTAAATATTAATGTGAATTAATCAAAAGTATGTGAATTACATGCATCACAAAGCGATTTGGGATTGTGAAGAACATGGAGGCTCATTTTCATATGCAGAGCCTTCATTGCAGAGTGGGTGGGGTATATGAGATCCCTTTTATAACAAGTGTAGTAGGATAACACATACTTGTGCCAATATATGATGTGAAATATCATATTTATACAATAGGAATTGCCTACATCGGATGATTTTCTCAAATTCAAGATTTTTAATTTGATGACATTTTTAGCCAAATATTGCATGTGTTACCTTTTCCTTGTATAGTGTGGTTATTTGTGTACAAGGGTTACGATGGTCCTGCATACTGGGCATGTAGTGACATTCAGAGTGAAAGGGAAACTGGAATCAGAAACAAGAAGGGGGTAACACAAGGCTTGCTAAAATGTTTTAAGTTGAACTTGGTGTGTGAGAGGGAATCATAAATTGGTTTGTGAGTATTGAAATTGATTTTGGTAGAACAAGATTCAATCACTTTTTTGATTGATTTAAGATACTCGTTCCTCACTCTTCACTAGAGTGATTTAACTACACATTAATTGTAACACGATTCTGCAACACAGTTTTTTTTAAGAGAGGAGATAATTTTAGAGAGAAAAGAGAAGAGAGAAATATTAAGGTTTTGAAAAAGGAAGAAGAATGTGTTGAAATAGAGTAATGTGTCGTATATACAAATGTATGATACTTCCCTATTTATAATGAGATTGCTTACGTATCATGCAATATCAAACTAACTAACTAATTTCAACAAGTTGTTATTCAACTTTGTCGAATACATGTTACTTCAACTTAAATTAGTTGTATTTGAATCTCTATTAAATACATGCATCTCATTCTCCTATATATTGAATATGACCTTCTATCGAATACATGCATGTTTAACTACTACTTTATCGAACACATTCGACTTCCACTCTATCGAATCCTACACTTTATAAATATGCTTAACACAAAAAAATACATATTTTAAAACACCACCTAATCCATTGTATCTAATTTATCTCCATTCGTTATATTTCTTAGTCTATTAAACAATTCCACATGTACAATCTTTGTCATGATGTCTGTAATCTGATTCTTAGTTCTGTAGTGTTTCAATGCACCCGCTACTTGAGGGGAGATGAAGTTATGACTTTATTCATTGTCAATCAAAACCATAATACTTACTCTATTATTTGTCCTTCAAGTTTCAAAGTTGTTGGTGGTTTATTGTGTGTCTCGTGTTCTTCACTAACACCAAACAATCCAGTAGAGTTACCGACAAGTGCTATGACTTCTTCATCCTCCTTCACCTTGATGACTATCACTTCACTGTCATTGTTCACTGTCTTGTCATCCCCTAACATTATCAATAAATTTTTTTTCTCTTAGCATTAATGTAAAAGGTCAAAATTTCCACCGCATCTGGAAAATTTTCCCTTAGTTCACCGCTCTGAAAACTCATAAGGAAAGTGTTTAAGCCCCATGTTGTAATTTCTTTCATTGTCTCCGTGGTTCTATGTGCTTGCAGACATGACTATCAAATGGTTTTAATAATGACAAATGATGAATTAGTATTGAGGATAACAACTTCATGGGTCAAACGACTTATGAATGTTTAGAGTTCTCTATGACAGAGGGAGTTAATTTCAACTATAAAAGAAACACTTCTAATGATGGAACTTGATCAACAAGATATCTCAAGCCTCATTGATGAGAAGATTCAAGTTTCATTTGAAGTGTTATGTTATGATAGTATCCAGCAAGATAACTTGAAGATCAATGTTGTGAAAGTGTGATAGCTTGTCTGATCCTGCGCTTCATGTCTTAGATTGATAAGTTACAACGTAAAAGTTCAATAGTAACTCTTAACGTATTATGGAAATCACACACACAAATTTTTTTTTTAAAAGTCTATCTTATTTCATAAAACCTCTTAAAAACCTATCTAAGCTTAAGTGGAATTGATTAAGGAGTATTTCTAATCAATTAGGGAAGTTTTTACACTGCCTAATTGATTTAAGACCTAGTTCAAACGAATAGATCAAGGAAAAGGCCTCTTAATTGATTAGAGAAGTTATTAACCGATTAATAAATATATCGTTTTAAGGTTTTGTTTTTTAGATCATGATTTCCATTTTTAAAGGTGTTTTAATCGATTACCAGCTAAGGTTATGTGGACCGATTTCCGTGACCCCACCAAATCCTGAGATGGTGAGATTCTCGCGATCTGTGCCTATGCTAATTTTGAATTTATAACATTTATTCTATGATGCTTAAAAGGAAGGGGAATAAATCTAAATTAACCCTGCATGCAAGTGTTATCCCTGCAAATGCAAAGAGACCTGGAATCGGGGGTTGGTTATACTAAGGGAAACTATTAACACCATGAGTATCTATATGAATCTTTTGTACACTTTGTACTATAATTTATTTCATCTACTTAAGTTGTTTAATGTCATTTTGGGAAAGTTGTAACCTATGGGCGAGGATGAGAATATGAGATGTTTTTGGGAGTTTTTGTTTTATGAAAGGTACGAGGACCTAAGGGGTTTTATTTTAAAGTTGTGCTCACTAAGATCTCGCAATCTTATGCCTACGTATTCTCAAAAGGAAATTGAGAAATCAGAGCGTTCGTAGTTCCACCTAACTATGGGTGGAATTTGTATCTTGTTCAAAGCCCAAGATGATGAAGCTAAAAGTTTTGTTGGTTTGGAAGAGAAGGAAAATTTTCATTCTTAAGGGAGATATCTCATCTATTCATCACAAATATTTGAGAATGATATCATATGGGAAGAAGCTTTGAACTTGGATGTTAAAGAATACTAAGCAATGCCACATCTTCCTTTATGAGTGTTGCACCCCAAAATTTGACCAACATTTCTTTACCTAGCTTGTGTTTCATTTCATTCACATTAGCACTATCATTTGCATTTCATTGACATGTATGCAGGAGATCAAGAGGTATGACTACCAATCAAGGGCTACACAAGACTATGAAGCTAGCCAAGAAGATTATTCAAGTGGTCAAAGGTTGATATCTTTGTCAGAGAAATTAGAAGATTCTCAGAGAGAATGGTTGAAACCAAGGTTGTGTGCCTCCTAACTTGAGAGTTGTGGGAAGACCTCAGATGATTCTGAAGCCAAGAATGTGGACTTGAAGCCTTGAGAGAGCTTATGAGATGTCTTGAAAGCCATCATGAGGCCTAGATAGGTCATTGTACAAGATTAAGAAGACTCAGCCATGAGTGATGTAATTAGGGTTTGACTGGGTCAACCCTAGGTCAACTGATGATTTGAACAAGGTTGAGACCTAATTCAAAGGCCATG